GGAAACTTTCAAACATTTTTTAAAAGGCAGTCAACCTTTATTTTTTAGGGATTTCTTTTTATAAAAATAAAGAGGATCAATTAAACTGTTCTCTAGCAGCCCAAACAGGTTAACCAGACCTTGCTGCTGAAATAGTATGTCAGTATGTTCAAAGCTTGCGTGCCTTGTTATTTTACCCTCAAAACCCAAACACCACTACTTTAAGTGTGCACTCCTCTCTTTTCTTCAGTCTTTCTGATTAAAGATAATTAGCCTCCAAAACAAGAATGTAAACTTCTAGGAATCCCGGCACATAAGCTGGGAGCAAAACAGGCCCAGATTACATTTCTTTCAAGACTCAGGCACATGCAGTGTAATAATCCTCTTCCATTTCTCTACTTTCAAAGCTCTGGAATTCAACAGCTTGCTTGGTAATTTTGAGTTTTCTGTTTGGTCAGTAGCAGAAGTGGCAGAGCAACAGAACATAATGGTGGTATTTTCAGCCCTGCATTTATCGGGACTTTATTAAAAATACCCACCCACTAGGTATTTGCTCATTTTGAAGGTAAATAGAAACTCTATTATATGGGTAGGTAAATAAGAAAGTGCAAGTTTCAAGTGACAAGTGAAAGAAAGAACAGACAAATTCAATTTGAGCGTCCCAGCAATGACAGCTTTGCCTGAATAACTTCTATAGGCACTAAAGGACAGAAGTTACCTGAACAGCAGCTAGCATTCATTTTGAATTATGCTTCAAGTAAGTTTAACAGAAGTTATCCCAGAAGGGAGCTCTCTTCCCTCAAAAGATATAGCTGAGAAATTGCCCAGTGCTGCATCAGATAATTACAAATGGCCTTACATAATTAAGAACAAAAATTTCCCGCATGCTAGGAGGCTCTTTGTACAACACTAGGTATTATGTACAACAGTGCTGTACAGAGAATATCTAATTATGAGCTACGTGAAGTGTAAATCTAAAATGGTAAAAAAACTTCAAGATGGGAAAAAATTATTTCCTTGTTGGCATTAAAATTAAGTTGATATTTTTACTGGAATTAAAATAACTTAAAAATGAGCCTCAAAGATTTTGCTGGTGTTCCCTGCATACAGCAGCTCAGCTCAGTTAACTAAAAACCTCTACTTACATATCCTGCAGCTTAACATCCTCATGGGCTAATTACCTTTTCCTTGAGAAAAGGCTGGCATCAGCCAAGTAGTTAAAAACTCTACTATTTGGGGAAAATTAGTACTGGGCACAATTTTTTC